GAACCATACATTCTGACAGCATTTGTGTAGAAATATATCCGTATATTTATTAATATAGCTGGGATTTCGACATTATTCTGACAAATTATCCAGCCTAAAAGTGTCTTATTTTGAAAATATGGATGTTGTGCTCATTTCTTTTCCTGTTGGTGCGACGTAATCTTTAAAAATGGACTCCGGTGCTGCTCTGTCRTCTGGCAAAAATAGGATCTGTTCTAATTTTGATGGATCTCCGTCTGCTCACCACCGCCCTGCTGAGCCATGTGCAGCCAGTGTAAACACTCTTACTGGTTATAATGGTTGTGTTTGCTGCAGAGGTTGGAGTGGAGTGGAGACAGAACACAAGTAATGTAAATTGGTTTAGTGTCCTGGATGGACAGGAAGGCCTTATATAAGTACAGTCCATTTACGTCCAAACTAGATGAGCAGTAATGATTTCTTTGTGACCACTCAGTGAAGTGTCGGTCTTCCAACACAGCTACTCCTCACCTTTTAACTTTTGGCAGTCCCATCGGTGTTAGTGGGGTCTCTCTGGGTGGCGCCCGCCGTATTCTGATCTGGGAGACTCGTTTACCAAGCTGGGACAGAAAATATATATTGCTGTTATACATACATATATATCCAGTATATACATGTTTACTTACACACATATACTGTCTTTGTGTGTATGATGTGAGACATTTAACCCCAAACCCTCCACAAAGTGTGTGTGTGTTGTATTAAAGCTGGCAGGAAGTTTCAGGATGTTCTCACATGTACACTGTTCTGTCAAAGTTTTCACTCCCTTCAACTTTTCAACCTTTAACCACATTTCAGGCTTCAAACATAAAGATATAAAACTGTAATTTCTTTGTGAAGAAWCAACAAGTAGGACACAATCATGAAGTGGAACARAATTTATGGTATATTTGAAACTTTTTTACAAATAAAAAGTGGGGTGTGCAGTATTATTCATCCCCTTTAGTTTCAGTGAGGACCTGTGAATGGTCCAGTGTTGTCCTGCAGGACTGATGGTGATGAACACAGCCCACCTGTGTGGAGTCATGTCTCTGTATAAAAGCTCCTGCTCTGTGCCAGGCTCAGGGTCCTGTTCAAAACAGAGAGCATCATGAAGACCAAGGAACACACCAGGCAGGTCCCAGGTACTGTTGTGCAGAAGTTTAAAGCTGGATTTAGATACAAAAGGTTTCCCAAGCTTTAAACATGTCAAGGAGCTCTGACGTATCAGACCACTGCACATCTACCAAGACCCAGCAGACCCTCTGAACTTTCATCTGGAACAAGAAGACTGATCAGAGATGCAGCCAAGAGCACCATGATGACTGTGGATGAACTGCAGAGACCTACAGCTGAGGGTCTGTCCATCAGTCGTACAAACCTGACCTTTATGGAAGAGTGGCCAGAAGAAAGTCCTTTCTCAAAGATATTCATAAAAAGTCTTGTTTAAAGTTTAAAGTCACCTGGGAGACACACCAAACATGTGGAAGAAGGTGATCTGCTCAGATCAAACCAACACCAAACTTTTTGGCCACAATGCAAAACACAGCTCATCACCCTGAACACACCATCCCTACTGTCAAGCATGGTGGTGGCAGCATCATGGTTTGGGCTGCTTTTCTTCAGCAGGGTCAGGGAAGATGGATGGAGCCATGAAAACCTGAGACTGGGACAGAGATTTATCTTCTAACAAGACAATGATCCAAAACATAAAACAGAGTCTGGTTCATAAATAAACACATCCAGGTGTTAGAAGGACCAAGTCTAAGTCCAGACCTGAATCCAGTGGAAAGAGCTGAAAACTGCTGTTCAAACCCTCTCCGTCCATCCTCACTGAGCTCCAGATGTTTTACCAGGAACAGGAAGAAGGTCAGTCTGTCCATGTGCACACCTGACACACCTGCAGCTGTAACCACTGCAACAGGTGCAGCGAAAAACTTTTAACACAAGAGGGACGAATCATTTTATACTCACAATTTTTCAGTTTTTATTTGTTAAAAAAGTTTAAAATATCCAATAAATTTTGTTCAACTTCACGAGTGTGTCCCACTTGTTGATTCTTCAC